CCCTCCCTCCCTCCTTTCCTCCCTCTCTCCCTCCCTCCTTTCCTCCCTCTCTCCCTCCCGTTCTTGGCTTTTGCCGTGATGTTTTTGCCTTGCTACAGTCCTAAAAGCAATGGAGCCAGCTGACCATGGACTGAAACCTCAGAAACCTTGAACCAAAATAAACTTTTCCTCTTTAAGTTATTTCTCTTGGGTATGTTGTCACGGCAACAGAAAGCTGACTAACACAATATCCCATTTGTCTGGCCCACTGGTACATTGTCAGATCCAGGAATTAATAGTGGTAAAAACATCTTATATGCTGAAGGGTCCTATATGGAAGGCCTTGCTGCTCTCCAAAAAGTTCTCCCACTACTACTTCTCTCTTCCTAACATTAATTGAATACTATTTTGTGATAATTCTGTACTTAGCATTTTTCTGCACCTCATTTAACCTCCTAAAAATCTTGTGTTATCTCCATTTCACTCCTGATGGAACACAAGCTCAGGTAGGCTCTGCATGAGCCAAGACCACACAGTTGGGAAATGACAGAGCATGGACTGGACCACAGTCTTGGATTCCAAAGCTGCTATTCTACCTTCTCCTCCTCTCTACTTTTCTCCTTCTTTGTCTTTTCCCTCTACTCTTCTTCTTCTTCCTCTCCCCTCCTCCCCACTAACCCACAATGGGGGTAAAAGTCTGGCAAGGAGACACTTCCAACAGTCATGCCCCTGCCCTTCTTCCTTGCACTCAGAATTCAGACTTTGCTCAGGTGTGGGTAGAGCCTTTCCTTGCTTCATGGTAAATCTGGATTGTTCTGATCTAAATCAACCAAAGTAATTATATACCTTTGGTCATGGGTTGTAGGCATGAGTATGTAACTCATTGTATCATTAGGGAAGTCTTGTGGGGGGATTGTAAATTATCTTCACTCTATAAAAGGTACTCATAGGAGAAACACTGCTGTGAAAAATAGATGCCTGGAACTGTGGCAGCCATTTTGTTACAGTGAGAATTGGCTTGATACAAAGTGGGGAAATAAAAGATTTACATGCCTTTGATTACATTAGGTGAGTTATTGAGTGAGTTATACCATTTGTATAGCTACTGGAGTAACTCTGGAATTCTCATGACATTAAAGTTGTCCCCTAATATTTAAATTGGGTTGACTTCCCTTTCTGTAAACAGACTGATTCACATATACTTTTCCTCCTTTAACCTTTGTTGATTCCCGAAGGGTGGTGAAGTGTTGATCAAGCGA